TTCCTTCTCCCACTTATTTTTCCCCACAGTGCCCCCCACTCGCCCAGTCCCTGCCCTGGTCTCCTGCCCCTCTCCCGCTGATCCCTCCCCCGCTTGTGACGCCTCTCGCCTCCCCTGTTTGCTGCTCTGGGCCACATATCTCCTCCCCCTCCCTGGGCCCCGCTGGGCGGCCTGCAGTCCCCATCCCCTCCCCCACAGCGCCCCCAGACAGAGTCCCTGTCCTTCCAGAGCAGCCGCTGCCGCCAGCCTCTGCGTCCTACACCCACCGCGATGACCCAGGCCCTCTGCACTTGGGCCACCCGCCGCAGGATGTGAAGCTGAGCGGAGCCAGCCTTGAGGCCGTGGACTCGGACCCCGAGCCAGAAGGGGAGTTGGAGGACAGGTGAGAGCTGGGCCTACCCCCAACCTCCCCACCTGCCCTGGCCCCAGACAGGCAGTGGGAGCCACTCAAAGGGAGGGGACAGCCTCAGAGTTTCTGGGGGGATCCGTTTTCCCTCCACCACACACGCCCTCCCCCAACACGCACTGAGGAACAGCCCGGTGGAGGACAGGAGCAGAGAGCCTGAACCTTCCTGGGGGCGTGACCCTGGGACAGACCCATCCCAGGACCCGGAGGGGCCGGTGTCAGGTGCAGCCATGTGGTCAGGGAGCCCTGTGCGCTTGAGGCTGGGAGGGGGCTGCAGGGCAGGCTTCCTGGAGGAAGCAAATCTTTTGTGTATAAGCGAAAGGAAATTCAACTCAAGGGGTTAAAGTAAAAGGTAGATGACATCGGCACAGGTATGTGGCAATTCCCAGTCACTGGCTTCTCTGTCTGGGGCCCTCCTCGGCGGGGTCTCTTTGGGACGGGCCCTCCCTCCCCATCTCAGGGGCAAAGGCAAGCTTTCATCTCCACTCAGGAAACCCAGCAGGAAGGATACTCTGCCCACCAGCGGCCACCACAGTCCCTGAGGTCCAGGGGTATGTCATCCCCGCAGGGCACTGGGATGAGTCCACGTGCATTTGATGTCCTTATTGATAGGACTGGGTTTAGGGCTACCGCTTCAATATTTCAGTTGTTTGTTCCCTCTGTCCCTCCGTCCATACCCTTTTGGGAATTAATTGAGTATTTTTTTAGAATTTCATTTGAATTTAGCTATTGTCTCTTAGCATTATTTTTTAGTGGTAGCTCTGAGGATCACAATAGACATCTTTAACTTTTTTGCAGCATTAACATTGTACTCACTTTACCTAAAATGTAGAGACTTGGAAGCTATAGATGCCCATTTGTCATGCTACAGTGTTCATGGCTACAATTTTAAATTCTCCCAAGGGCTGCCCACCGGCCTCTAGTATCTTTTAACTATCTCCAGTGTCACCCCTTGCCTCTAACCACAGGCAACCTGTAAGCTATTCTGCCTCTATGCAGTTTTGTCACTTCAAGAATGCTAGGTGAGGCCGTGCTCATGCCTATAATCCCAGCACTTTGGGAAGCCAAGCTGGGAGGATTGCTTGAGACCAGCTGGGCAGCATAGCAAGACCCCATCTCTACAAAAAAATTTTTTAACTTTTAAACTGGGCATGGTGGTGTGTGCCTGTAGTTCGAGCTACTCACTCAAGCCCAGGAGTTTGGGGTTACGTTGAGCTGTGATCTTACCAGCCTGGGTGACAGAATGAGACCCTGACTCTAAAAAAAACAAAGGATGCTAGGTAAATGGAATTTAAGAACACGTAACCTTTTGAGATTGTTTCTTTGTTACTCAGTGTAATTCCTTCACATTCACTCATAGTGTCAGATATATCCATAGTTTGTTCCTTTTTTTTTTTGAAACAAAGTCTCACACTGTCACCTGGGCTGGAGTGCAGTGGCACCATCATAGCTCACTGCAGCCTCCAACTCCTGGGCTCAAGCGATCCTCCTGCCTCAGCTCCAGAGCGCACCACCATGCCCGGCTAATTTTTCTATTTTTAGTAGAGATGGGGTCTCGCTCTTGCTCAGGCTGGTCTCGAACTCCTGGGCTCAAGCGATCCTCCCGCCTCGGCCTCCCAAAGTGCTGGGGTTACAGGCGTGAGCCACGCCGGGTCAGTTCGTTCCCTTTTTTCCTGAGCAGTGTTCTGTTTGGTCAGTGGCCCGACACAAACGGCTCCACCCTTGCAAGTGAACACCTTCAGCGCATCACTGTGGCCCATCTGGAAGAGGCAGGGGCAGGGGCGTGAGGTGCCAGGCCTGGTTCATGTGCGCCCCTTCCCAGGTGGGATTCTGCCGTCTCATGGGGAGGTGGGGCCAGGTTCAGGAAAGGCACGCGGGGCCCTGCCCTGAAGGCCCGGCAGCCCCACAGAGGCTTTCTCCTTCTCTCCTGGCCAGCCAGAGCGGCTTCTCTTCCTAGTGACCACCCTGCTCCACGCAAGACAACACCCTGTGGCTGCATCTTGTCCCTGTCAGCCTGTCAGGACTCTGCCTGGTGGCTGGGCAGACCCCACCCCACGTGGGCCCTTCCTCTAAATGCACCCGATGGACAGAATGGCAGACACCTGTCCCCACCTAGGAGGGGCCTCCAGCGGCCCAGAGTGTAGTGTGGGGACAGCTGGAGTGTCTGGAATTCCAGGTGCCACACCCTCAGCCTGGGGCTGGACGTCCCCCGTCCCGGGGCCACAGCGGCTCCCACAGCCTGGCACTCTGCTCCCGGGAGAAGAAACAGCCCTGGAGGGACCCACGGCCAAAGGGGACACAACATCTAACCAAATTAGGGCAAAAACGTCCATCCCTTCCTCGGCAACTTCGACCGACACAGGCTGCTTTTCTCTGACAACACAAAGCCCCCGCCTCCGCTTGGGGCACTCAGGCCACCCCCTGCCCTCGCCCCAGGGGGCCCCGAGTGCGAGGCCGAGCGTGTGTGCGTGCGGGGAAAGCGCCTCCCTCCCAGCAAATGCACTTTCAGCTTCATGCTCCCCGGGCTGGGTGACTCTGGACTTTCCCAGCCCGAGTCCCTGATCTCCCGGTGCCTGAAGGACTGTCCCTCTCCAGCAGCCCAGAGGGCGCCCCAGCTCGGGGACCTGCCTGGCTCCAAGGACCCTCCAGCTGCCGCCAGCACCACACTCCTCTTTGATTCCTTTTTGTGACCCTGGGTGCACGCCTGTTCCTGCGTTCGCCAGCCTTCCCCGAGGTGGTATTTATTTCAGCCAACACCGCCCATCCATCCACGATCTCCACCAGCTCGGGGACCCTTGCAGGTTGAGGGGCTGAGGCCTGAGGCCGCCCCCGCCTGTGGGGTCGGAGTCTTGCGGCTCCGGCCACATCTCACGCCCCTGACTCCTGCCAGCCTGCAGAGGACGGGCCCCGCCCGTGGCTCCCTCCCCAGGCCGAGGCCCTGGGCCCACTCGCTGTAAGGCTGTTGGTAAGATAAGTTTATTTCCACAGTCACGGACGGGCCGAGGCCTCCTGCAGCCAGAGGGCAGCACCCAGGCCTCGAGCCCATTCTGGACGGAATTCCAGAGCCCCTGGCCCCTCAGCGACACAGCGGCTGCGTGGTGGCGCCTGCAGGCTGGGGCTGGAGCCACCAGTCTCCCCGGCAGCCGTGGGCTCCAGAGCCCGTGTCTTCATTTGTGGCCTGGGCTTGCAGAGCACGGGGGAGGAGGGTTTATGGCTGTCAAACGCCGGCACCCCCAGGTGGTCGTACCTTCCCATGCAGCTGTAAGAAATGATACAGAGTGGTCCCGGGACCCTTCACACCCACCTTCCCCTGTGGGTGACATCATGGAAAATTCCAGTAAATGATCATGCCAGGATATTGACACGGATCGATGCCACTGATCTCATTTCCATTTCCTCGGTTGTACATGTACACGTGTGTGTGTGTGTGTGTGTGTGTGTGTGTGTGTGTGTGTGCCCCGGCCACCTGACATCTGGGCTGATCGGAGACACAGGCCCACTGGGGAACCCGGTAATGGCCCCGCAGCCCCTGCCTTGGGAGAGGGCCGCCCCCACGGTTCAGGCCCCGCTGGCTCCTGACTCTGCCCCGTGATGCTTGGTGGTGGGGGCCACGGGGGCGGGGGTGGGCTGGAGGCTGCAGCTGTGCCCTCCTGTGTCCCCGGACCGCACAGGCGCCGCCCCGGTGCCCCAGCATGGCTCAGAGCAGGCTGCAGACGGCAGGGGCTGGGGTTCAGGGCTGTGGCGCCCGCTGTCCACCCTCTTGTCCCGCCTGGTCCACGGCAAGGCTGACATGAAGTGAAAAGAGAAACGAGGCCACGGGTGAAGGGAGAGAAGCGGGTAGTCTCCTGTAGTCGGGGGGCAGCAGGAAGCTGAGTCGTGCCCCTGGTGGGTTTGGGGGACCACAGTGTATGTGGGGGTCACTCTGATTGCTCAAGGGCCATCCCAAAGCTAGAATCGGGGCTTCTGGGACAAGAATGTCAAGCAGGCTCTGGGGCCCCGGCACCAGGCACTGGGCAGTGTGGGGCAGGGGCACTTGAGCTTCCTCCTGGGCACGACCCTGCGGCAGGGCCACGGGCACATCCGCCCCGCCGTCCCCACCTCGGCCCCTGCGGCAAGCGCTCACTCGGTCCAGCCCACAGAGCTGGGCCGGGGAACGTGCGTTTAACCCATTTTAGATTCCTGCCGTGACAAAGCACCACACACCGGTGACTTCTAACACCAGGAATTTATTATCTCAGTTCTGGAGGCCGGAACTCCAAGGTTGAGGTGTTGGCAGAGCTGGATCCTTCCGGAAGCTGGGAGGGAGACTCCGGCCGCGGCCCCTCTCCTGGCTTATGGCGGCTGCAGGGGATCCTGGGTGTCCCCTGGTTTGCGTCGCATCACTCTGATCTCTGCCTCCGTCGTCATGTGGCAGGTCCCTGTGTCCTCTGCTCTCAGAGGGCACCCTCAGGTGGGATTTAGGGCCCACCGGATTTAGGGCCCACCCTACGCCAGTGTGATTTCGTCTTAACTAATTACAGTGGAAACAACCTATTTCCAAACAAGGTCCTGTTCTGAGATCCCAGGAAGGACATGAACTTGGAGAGGCCCCTATTCAACCCAGTTCAACCCTCCCCTCCTTTCCCCCTGGGAGGGCTGTCAGGAGCGAGGAGGGGGGCGTGCCCGTGGTGCGGCCGCCCCCCTCCCCGGAGGCCTTGGAGGCCACAGTGCCCCCCAGTGGCCGGCAGCAGAGCCCCGCCCGCACCCTGTCCCTGAACTCGGCCGACACGTAGTAGTAGAGGAAGGGGTCCACGCAGCTGTTGAGGGTGCTGAGTGCCAGGCTGGGCACGTAGGCGGCGTAGAGGTCGCCCCAGGCATCCGGGCTGGGGTTCGAGTAGTGCAGCAGCAGCAGCACGTTGCTGGGCGCGAAGAAAGCCAGGGCCGAGGCCAGCACCAGCGCGGTCAGCTTCAGGGCGTGGCCGTAGCGCTGGCCGGCGGCGCTCAGGGCGCGCAGGGTGGCCCCGTAGCACAGCAGCATGGCCAGCAGCGGCAGGAAGCAGCCCAGCAGCGCCAGGCAGGTGAAGGCCGGCCGCCAGTGGGAGGCCTGGGCGGCCAGGGGCAGCGCGTCGTGGCAGAGCACGCGGTCAGAGCGTGACAGCCGGAAGGTCTGCCGCTGCAGGGCCAGGGGCAGCGCCAGGGCGGCCGCCGTGAGCCAGGCGGCGGTGCAGAGCCCGGCGGCCAGGCGCTGGCCACGCAGGGCACGGGCCCGCAGAGGGTGCACCAGGGCCAGGTAGCGGTCAAGGCTGACGGCCGCCAGCAGCAGCACGGAGCCGTACATGTGGCCGTAGAGCGCGGCTGTGTCCAGGCGGCAGGCGGCCTCGCCGAAGGGCCAGCGCTGGCCCCGCAGGTGGTAGGCGACCCGCGGGGGCAGCGCCAGGGCCAGCAGCAGGTCGGCGGCTGCCAGGTTCATGAGCAGCAGGGTGGACGGCAGCCGCGGCATCTTCGCGGCCAGCACCCACAGCGCCAGCGCGTTGGCGGGCAGCCCGACCGCCAGGACCAGCCCGTACAGGGCGGGCACCAGCCTCGTGGGCACCCAGCCCAGCAGCAGCGCCCGCGACCTGTCTGGGAGCTCCAGCGTGTCGCTGTCGTTGGCGCAGACCTGTCCTGGGAAGCTGAGGGGGCGGCCCGGGAACGGGGGCGCCGTGGCCTCCGTGGGCCCCAGCAGGCCGTCTGGAGAGAGAGAGGGGGCTGCAGTCAGCCCCTGCCGCGGGGGCAGGAGGGCAGTGGGGACGGAGGTGCCGAGAGTCTGGGGTCAGGGTAGGGCGCAAGGTGGGCTGGGCTGAAGGTCCCAAGTTCCCTGGCTCCCCCGCACCGGCTCTGATGTCCCCGCTCTCCGGTCCTGAGGCCAGGGTCACTCACTCACCACTGCCTCCTCCGGTGCTCCCAAACTCGTCGTAGACGCTGGGGGTCTGAGTGCCGCCCACCGGGCCGAGCCCCAGCACCAGGGGCCACAGGAGCAGGCACCCCCGCATGGCTGCGCTCGGGCTGCTCTGGGCTGTGGCTTTGGGCTTCCTGCCTCGCCGGACCCCCATCCCCGGCTTCCGGAGCCTGGCCGAGGAGCAGACGGTGCCGGGAGATAACCCAGGAAGGCACAGCCCCTGCCCCTGACCCCTCGAATCCCCAGCCAGCTGTGGGAGGCCCAGAGTGTGGGCTCAGGAGGCCGGGCCGCTCCGGGGCACTGTGTCCAGCCGAGGCACTTCCCCGAGGGCCAAGTGCTAGGGGGGTCCCGGGCTGCAGGTTCCACCCCCAGCCCGGGCCAGCCCAGGAAGCACCTGTGGCCCGAGTGGCCACTTCCTACTGGTGGTCACGTCTGCAGCCCGTTTTGTGATGGCCCCACCCTCCAGGTACCACCCCCAGCCTCTGCCCATGGTGGGGGCTCTTGGGTCTTCCCGAAGCCGCCCCCACTTCCTGTCTCTGGCAGGATAGCAAGAGCCCTGTCTACCTGGGTCAGAGGTCAGAGCAGGTGAGCGGCGCCCCTTGAGGTACCAGGGTCCTCAGCAGGGGCTGCCCCGTCTCACCACTGCCTCCCCCCAAGCTGCCCCTGCACCACCCCCTGGGCAGGAGCAAAGTGAGGTGCAGAGACGGGGGCACCTTGCGAGTCTGGGGTCTGCGGAGGACAGCTGCGGGGAGGGCGTCTCTGTTCAGCCAGTCCCTGATGCTGACCATGCACTACCCGGGGGGGCCCAAGGGGACCCTGCTGGTGCCCCCTGGGAGTCACCTGTCCGTGTTCTTGAAGTGCCTCTGCTCCTGTCCTGGTCGCCCCTCAGCCTGGGACCCCAGGCGTGACTGTGGGTGGCCACCGAGGGCGGTGGCATTCCCTCCTCCAGCCCTCCGCACATCCCTGCTCCCGGCCGCCCTGTGGGGACGCCCACTGTGCAGATGAAGAAACTGAGGCTCCGAGGCAGGCGCCCTTTCTCTTTCCTGCACACAGGACCTGTTGTGCCCTGGGGGAGCAGAGGACCAGGTGGGGGGCCGCGGGGGAGGGGTGGGGAAGATAAAGTGAACTAGGGATGGGGGAGGGGTCTGACCCCGTTTCCTGCCTGTCTGGCCCTAATCTTCCAGCCACACTCAAGGACTCAGGCACCAGCCAGGAAGTGACTGAGCAGAGTCCTGGACAGAGTCAGCTCCAAGCCAGGGAGGGGAAACCAAGGCCTGGAGCGCTCCAGCCCGGGCAGGGCACTCAGCCAGAGGCCTTGCTCCCCGTTTCCAAGCAGTTTCCACGGCCACCAATGACAAACAGCTCCACGCCTGTGTCTCTTGGAAACAGGTGGCCGAGGACACCCTCGGCTCAGGGGAAACCCAGGCCTGCGCCCCCCTGCCGCCTTCCGTGTGAGCAGATGGGGGAAACCGGGCGGGGCGGCTGGGAACACCGGCAGCCCGGCGTCGGGCAGGGCCGTTTGGTGATTGTGCACGGAAAGGCTGTGACGCGCACACCCTCAGCCCGAGGGTTCCGAGTCGGGGGATTTCTGCGGGCGCCCACGCACAGGAAGACGTCCGAGCGAGGACGTTCACGGCAGCAGAGCGGGGGATTGCCCGGCAACGGCCCCTCCGGGAACGACGGTGCCAGAATGGGGCGGGCAGGGAACCCCAGACCCAGGGAGCAAAGGTGCAGGGCCTCCGGCGACAGCGACGCCATCGTAATCGAGCACAAGCTGTGCCCAGGCACTTCCGGAGGACGCCAGGCACAACTGCTTTTGGGGAGAGGAACCCCAGTGTCTGTTGTCTTCCATGTTCTCATTTGTACTGTTGGAGTTTTCTTTCGGCCTGTTGCTGTCCATAGAAACTAATTTTTTTAAAGGCAGACTATTACTAGCCCTAAAAAGGAGGGAGATTCTGAGGCATGAACCTGGAAGACATTCTGCTCGGTGAAATGAGCCAGCCGCAGAAAGACAAGTACTACGTGATCCCACCTGTGTGAGGTCCCCGAGTCGTCAGAGTCACAGACAGAAAGTGCAATGGTGGGTGCCAGGGCTCGGGGGGCAGCGAGCTGGGGTGTCATGGGGACAGAGTGTCAGCGTGGGGAGATGAGAAAGTTCCGGAGCTGGGTGGCGGTGGTGGCACAACACTGTGAATGTCCTCAACGCCACCGAACTGCACACTGAGATACGGAGAGATGGTAAATTTTGTCACGTGCATTTTCCAACAATTCGAATAATTTTAAATGGGGGGAAACTGGCAGACAGACACAGGTCCGTGGCTTGTTCTGGACTTCTTCGCCCTCCGACCCTTCAGGACCACTGAAAGCCCTCGGGTGTGGTCCCTGCACAGCCCCCGCTCCTGCCTCAGTGTCTCCACTGAAAGATCGAGGGTGGCAGCCGAGTTACACACCACAAACGTGACGCCACCTGCCCTCATTCCCGGCTGGGCTCCACCCTCTGGGCAGGGACTTTAACCTCCTCGACTGGCCGGGGAGGAGGGTGCCGTGACCCTGTCTCACCAGGGGCCAATGGTCACGCCCAGGGTTGCACGGGTGGCCGTGGGAGAACCAGGGTTCGGGGTCCGGCCAGCCTGTCTCGGCCCCAAATCCGAGCCTGTTTGCTAAACTGTACCAAGGGCTGAAGCTCCACTCGGAAGGGATGGGGCAGAGTCGGAAACCCAAGCCGGGCCCAGGAGCCCGGCCTGCATCCCCAAGGCCCTGGAAGGGGCGGGAAGTCTAGAGCCCAGGATCTCGGCCCGCACCCCCGTCCCCGCGGGCTCCCACCCGGCCCGGCCCAGCCGCACCACAGCATCCTGAGACTGACTTTGGGTCAACTTGCTTTTTCTTTTCAACTTCATTTTTGAGAGCAGTTTTAAGCTCACAGCAGAATGGAGCGGAAGGTCCAGAGCGTTCCGTACGTCCTGTCCCCACACGTGTGCAGCCTGCCGAACATCGACACCCCCCAGTGGCACCCTTGTTACCAGTGATGAACCTGCGCTGACAGGTTCTCATCCCCCAGAGCCCCTGTTGGACATGAGTGGTCTCTCTCTCTGTGGGGTACATTCTGTGGGTCGGCTGAATGCCTGTTGGCGTGTGTCCACCATTGTAGTGTCACACAGAATAGTGTCACTGCCCCACGCATCTCCTGTGTTCCACCCACTCGTCCCTCCCTCCGTCCAGCCCCCGGCAACCCCCGAGCTGTGTGCTGTTTGCAGTTTTCCTTTCCCTGAGTGTCACGTCGTTGGGGTCACAGCCTGTGGCCTTTTCACACTGGCTTTCACTCAGTGACGTGCGTTTACGGTTCCTTCATGTCTTTTCATGGCCTGATTGTGCATTTCTCTTTAACGCCAGATAATATTCCACTGTCTGGACGTAGCACGGTCTGTTTATCCACTCACCTCCCGGAGGACGTCTTGGTAGCTTCCAGGTTTGGGCAGTGATGGGACAGAGTTGCTGTCACTCTCCGTGCACAGGTTTTTGGGCGGACACCAGTTTTCACCTCCTTTGGGTAAATACCAAAAAAGCACGATCCTTGGGTGCCATCCAATTTGCTTTCTAGAGCCACCAGCCTCCTTCTCAGCGAGGGCCATCGCTATACAGTGCCGGCTCTGGGCTGCAAATGGCGAGCGAGCAACAGGTCACCCCGCCAGACTTGAAGGCGGCAGAAGGGGCGGTGCCGGCCACATGGCTCCTTTGTGAATGGGGCTGTTCCTCCGTCACTGCGTGACCTGACGCGTGACGCAGCTTGGAGCAACATGCCTTCATGACCTCAGGTTCCCACAGGTCGGGGGGCGGGGCCTGGCAGGCTGGGTCCTCTGCTTGGGGTCGCAGGAGGCTGCGATTGGGGTGTCAGCGGGGCTGTGCGTCCCCATCTGCGTAGCCCAGTGTCCTCTTCCGACCTCACCTGGCCGTTGGCAGAATTCGGGTCCCGGGTATGGTAGCTCACAGGTCCTGTTCTTGGCTCCTGGAGGCTGCCTGCCACTCCCTGCTGTGTGTCCCCTCCCCAGCACGGTGGGGCCGGCAGGTGACGGACTCCTCCTGGGACCAGTGTTTTTCCCAAGGAAGGCCAGTCTGGGGGCCCAGAGGGGGTCCTGGGCACCCCTCCAACAGAAAGCAGAAGGAAACTGGGGCTGGCATCTGTGATCCTCTGGTGGGGGCGCAGTCGGACACTGCCAGGGCAGCTCAGCTGTGCCGCGTGCACACGGCCACCGGGGAGGATGGGGACAGCACCTGGAGAGGTGGCAAGTCCACACTGAGCTGGGGGCCACCCAGTTCTGCTGCAGAACCCCCCAGGGTTGCCGGCCAGGAGCAGAGCTGTGTGGGCTCCTGTCACCTGGAGGCAGGTGTGGGGACCCAGGGGCAGTGGGGGGTGTCTGGCCTGGAGAGGAGCAGACAGGACCACAGTGAAGACCAGGAGGTGAGATTCCGGGTGGGGCTGTGGCCTCCGTCGGTAGGAGCCTGGCTGCACGGGCTGCGCACAGAAAGTTCGGAGCAAACCCTGCGGTCTTTCAATCAGGTGTCGCACGTGCAACGCAAGGCGAAGGAGACACTTGTGATTTTTACTCCACGTGAAAACTGAGTTGGGCAAAAACATTCCAGAAACCACTTCCATGTTGTGGCGGGGCAGGGGTGGGGTGTGTGATGACCTCTTTGCCATCTGAGGGGACCCACTGTGCAGAGAGGGCTCGAGGGACCCTGAGGCGGGGTTTGGGGGCTCCCGGGGGCCAGGCAGGCGCACGCCATGCTCCCTCACCCGTGGTGGGTCCAGACCACTCCCCTGGTGGCGGCAAGTGTCGGGATTCTCGCAGGAAGTCACCAGCAGAACCTCAGGGCTTTACATCAATATTTAATTTTTAACTTTAATGTGCAAATAAATAGAAAAGGAAAACTACATTCAAAACAGCTGCAAAGGAAGGGCAAGGCCCGGAACAGAAATTCCTCAAAGAACGGAAAAGAGACACTCCCTAGAAGCATGCGGGGTCAGGTCAGGGTGACAGGGAGGGCTCAGTGGGGTCTCCGGGCCGGGGGTGTGGCCCATGAGGCTCCCGGGGACAGGCCAGGCACAGGAGGGGCCGCAGGCCCGGCCAGGGTCTGGTTCAGGAATCCCCAGGGTAGCAGGGATGCGGACAAAGTGCCTGCGTCGCGCTTGGGGAACGCGGGGGGCGGCCCTGGG